CGTCGACGACGACGAGGTATTGTGTGATGGGACAAGGAGTTCCATCATCTGCATTATGAGTTTTAATCAAATCGTTTCCATTTGAACCCTTAGTAATGAACGACGGGGAGCTGTCGTGCTGTGATTGTGCAGAGAATATGACCTGATCTAAGATTAATAAATAATTGCGAAGGGGGGAATCACGTCGCATAAATTTTATTTGGATGTTCCGAAATTCTCGTATCTATAATAACATTAAATTGCGTGTTAATCACGCAAACAACCAAATAAGCTACGTTTGATAGACTCGGACGTAAATACCCAATTCTAACGCGAATTCTTCTGTTCGCCATCTTGCTCCCGACATCCTCTCTGAAGAAGGGAGTGCCGTGTCCTCGGTTGCGAGCAATCGCCAAGCCAAGCGCAAGAGCAGGGCGAGAGCGGAAGGTGGTCAGCATACCTCCCCTCATAGAGGGTGGGGACAACCAGGAGCACCGTCCTACTTTGCCGAGTGACCAACCAAACGATCGTTTGTTCGCGGACAGGCCACGGAAGAGGGAGAGAAAGGAGATCGCACATTGATCCGCGGGTGCATCAGCAACTAATTACGCAGATTTATGTCCCCATTGTCCATTGTCTCTCTACCGGGAGCGATTCTCCCGGTACCCCGGCGCGGACCATTCGATGGAAGCGACTGGCCGGCCGATCCGGTCGGGACTAGCCGTAGGACGGCGAGAAGGTGCACGGCCAAGGAGAGAACGACGAGGCGACGACGAGAGGAGATAAAAGGAGGACCTCTCGGAGGATCGCTCGGATCCAGGCGCGTATCGAAGAGGGGAATGCAAGAAGTCGAGAAACCGAGCGGGCGGACCACCGGCGGACAGCCCCGCCCGCTATGTGAACGCGGTCCGTCTTCTACCCTTCCGGGAGGCCCCCTTCGGATTCTTGTCGCGAATTCGTAGTATCTAGCTAACATTTGCGTGCCCTTCACTCCTATCTCTCCCTATCTATTCCTACCACTTTTATTTAAAAAAAAAAAATTCGATGTGATACCATTTTGAAATTTCAATCGTAACTGTTACCATCATACATTTTCATCTGTAACCAGAGACTTTAACAGGGCTCCTGGAAGCAGATAGTACCTCGATTACACGCACAGGTGTGTGACATGTTATACCGGAAGAATCATTTTTATAAACGTTCTTCGGAAACTTCGGCGACACTCTTATTGCGTAGTCAATTTTCTCCGAGATGCGTTTAATCTTTTTGAAAGAAGTAAAACGTACTCAGATTGTATTCCGAAGTCATGCGACTTTGATAATTTGGTAGAATACCAATCGTAATGACGAGGATCACCGAGGATTCCGCGAATCGAAAGTATTCCACTCGGCAATCGGGATCGATCGGACATCGATGTCGGGCTCAGTAGGATGCAAATGCTCTGCACGAGCGAGGAGTTCGTGCAGGGCTATTGGCAGGCCGCTAACAAGGACCGCACCGGGTAGCGCATCCCGGACGTAGCCCGCCGGTAAGATACGCCTCGGCAACTCGGAGGAGCGTGGCGTACCGAGCTTAAAAGCGGCCGAGTCTCGACACTCGGCGAGATGCTACCGGCCGATATCCGGCTCCTCCTGTACTTGACTCACTCGAACCTCCTCACGTTAGAAAGAAGCGCGGCGTATTAGCGGCCCGTGCTATGCGGAGAGAGAGAGAGCGGGTCCGTGCTATCTACGATGGCAATGATTCTGCGCCAATAGCCCGCCTACGACTCCCGGTCCAGAACAATAATTAGCGTTATCGGCGAAGCATCCGCTTGCAAGACCGTTACGATCCCTGCCTGATTTTTTCCGCGCCTTCTCTCGCTCCCCTTTCCCTCTCTTTCTCTCTCTTTTATAAATGTGTGTCGTTGCGCGTTCCCTATGTGCCCCCTCGCTCCTTTGTCGTGCCTCTCTTTGCCTGCACGAATTACGGATATAGATAGCAGACACCTGCATATATTGGCGTACACATGTTGGTGATGCACCAAGAGCTAACTAGTATTGGTACCACGAAGGTATTAGCTATTTATCCTATGAGCTGAGTCGTAAGGACGATCTGGTCGTAAGCCGAACAACCGATTCAGTCACGCTCGCTATTCGTGTAGAGCTATTGCTAATTGCTGATAAATTCACAGATTCTCTATACAGTAAAACTTCGAGAATGCAAGATATAATTATATTGACTTTAGCCTAATTAAATTAATATCGTTAATCGATAGAAGAATTAATCATTTTTATACATAAATTTCATTATTGCAAATAAAAAAAAACAATATATTAATATTTCACAAACGGCGATACAAAATTTGCAATGAATATTGTTTATATTCTGCCGTATCTTATAAGAAATCTTAATTTAATCTATTTAGTAATATGTATCCAAGCATCAAAAGATCATTTAGTTAGAGATTTTCCCTAAATTTAGTTGCAATCTGAGATATTTATTTCTTACACAATCTTCTGCAATGTGATGTAATATGTATAATATAATATAATATAATGTAATACATCTTTTAAAACGAAGACTGAAACTGATTATTTTCCGTCAATTTCTGAACGTGTTCTTTTGAGGCCATTCTTCTGGAAAACGATTTGTCACTCTTAGACGTATGAAGGCGGAACGAGTCGCCGAGATGAAACGCGGTAAGCCTTACAAATGGCAGAACGAAAAATAAGGTGTTAAGACAAGGATCCTTTAGTGCATGTTCATAAATTGCGGTCGTAAGTAAGGCGTAAATTTTAGCGTGCATAGGCATCCGCACTAATGTCAGCTTGTGTACTTTAGTGATTTACGTGCAATCAACGAGCTAAATCAGTTAGGTTTGCTTGTAATTAGCATCTACGCCGAACGTTCATCCAGTAAGAAAATTTATAATGCAAGGTGTCTGTTTAATTGTTTGTAAGAAACCTGATATGCATAGCGGCAGCTCTAAAAGCGACGTGAGATAACCGAAAATTGTGTAAATACGACTTACAGGCTCACAAATCAAGATTAAAACCAGAGGTTAAAATTACAATTAAAAAAAATTTCGTATAACATTAGAACATATAATAATACATCATATCATGAAATAATAAGTATAAGTCAATAAAATAATAAGTATTAAAAAAGTTATTAGCAAAAAAAATTATTTTTAACGCACTCTTCCGCGGAATATCAATATAAATTAATCGCTCTGAAATCCGAACGAAATGTGAGAGGTATATCAAACACAAAGAACCTTTCCTCGAAAATTACTTTACTTTTAACGATACAACATACTAGGCGTTTATAATCACCGTGTGGGAGCTACTGCAGGCATAAGCATCCGCCGGGCTTTACTCTGTTTCTCATTGTCGGACAGGCCGTCGGTGGATACCGGTAATTACATAACCACCGTGTTAGAAATGTAGAGCTGCGTACATCAGAAAAGATTTCTCCGCGAGAGCCGTACGGGGCTTCACAGTGCACGAAGTTAATTTCTCGTCTCTTTCACGTCGGGACGGCCGAGCGAAGTTGCTGGGACGCCTTCTGAGACGGATCTTTGATAAGTAGTACTACTCGCGCACGGTTATCTCGGCGAATATCCCGGGGAGGCGCGGGTCTCTCTCTCTCTCT